CTTCGTGGAACAGGCTTCTTCGGGAGGTGGTGGGCTCTCCTTCTTTGGAGGTTTTCAAACAGAGGCTGGATGGCCATCGGACAGCAATGCGGAGTCTGTGAACTTAGGCAGATCGCGAGAGGGGAGGGCAGGAAGGGTTGCCTCAGTGCTTAGTTCTCGCGGCCCTTTCTTACACGCCCAGGGAAATGCCAATCACCAGTTTTGGGTCAGGAAGCAATTTTTCTCCAGGCCAGTTTGGCTGGAGATCCCGGAGATTTTTTTTGTCATTTTCTGGCCGTGAAACAGGGGCCACTGGGGGAGTGGGAGGCAGGTATTTGTGAATTTCCTGCATTGTGCAGGGGGTTGGACTAGATGACCCTGGAGGTCCACCTCTCAGATTCGATGACCCTGCTTAGTGTCTGAGATCTGAGGAGATCAGGCTAGCCTTGGCTGTCCAGGTCATGAAGAAGAGAGAAGAAGAGATTGGATTTATACCCTGCCCTTCACGACCCAAAGGAGTCTCAGAGCGGCTCACAAACCCCTTTCCCTTCCCCTCCCCACAACAGACACCCTGTGAGGTCGGTGGGGCTGAGAGAGCTCTGAGAGAACTACCCTTGAGAGAACAGCTCTGAGAGAACTTCTAACTGACCCAAGGTCATCCAGCAGGTGCAAGTGGAGGAGTGGGGAATCAAACCCGGCTCTCCCAGATTAGAGTCCGCGCACTTAACCACGACACCAAACATGGTGGAGCTGAAAGTGCGGTCAGGTCACAGCTGACTTATGGCCAACCCCTCATGGCATGTCCAAGGTTTGCCATTGTCAGCCGCTGCATAAGAATCCTGGACTTTTTTGGTGGTCTCCCATCCAAGTACTAACCAGGGCTAACCCTGCTTAGCTCCTGACCCCTGATGAGATAAAGGAAGAAGACGAAGACGAAGAAGACGACGAAGACGACGACGAACAAGACGACGAAGACGACGAAGAAGAAGAGGAACAAGAGGAACAAGAAGAACAAGAAGAACAGGAGGAGGAGGAGGAGGAGGAGGAGATTGGATTTATACCCCGCCCTTCACTACCCAAGGGAGTCTCAGAGCGGTTTACAAACTCCTTTCCTTTCCCTTCCCCTCCCCACAATGGACACCCTGTGAGGTAGGTGGGGCTGAGAGAGCCCTGACAGAAACTGCTGTTTTTTCAAGAACAGCTCTGAAAGAACTATGGCTTGCCTAAGGTCATCCAACAGCTGAAAGCGGAGGAGTGGGGAATCAAACCCGGTTCTCCCAGATTACAGTCCGCGCACTTAACAACTACACCAAACTGGCTC